CCCCAAAACCCCAAAACCCCAAAACCCCAAAACCCCTTTCCTTATTTTTAGATTGATAATTTAGTTATTAGTATTTAAAAATAATTTCAAATTACTTTGATTGAAGGAAAACAATCACTCATGTGATATCATCTATGACTTCTTCCTGCTTTCTCCATTGCTTGTAGGCTTCTTTGACTAAAATATGAAGAAAATAGCTTACCGACAGCATTTGCAGCTGCTTCTGGGGACCCTTTTAAGTAGAATGGGGCAACTATTTTGGCAACTAGATCATTTTGCATGAACTCCCAAACTCCATCACTAGCTAGAACAATGAACATGTCTTCTGAGGTCAACTTGAATTCGAAAATTTCTGCATTTGGGACAACTCCAGCCTCTTGAGCTCAGCCATCTCCCAGGGACCTTGACATAGCAAGTCCAGGAAGATCGTCTTTATTTTAACCAAACTCGCAGTGGGCCTATTGGTTTGCCATCGTAATCCTGAAATGCTTCTATTCGACCTCCAACCTTGAGAATACGTTTAGCTTCATCAGTTTCGTTTGGCTTGTGGTCTCTTGAGGCTGCTTTCACGATCAGCTCATCTGTATCATCGGTTTTACCCACAATAATCGCTCTGGAGTCCCCTGAATTGGCTCAGAACAAATGGTTTCCGTAGAACAAAGTGGTTCAGCAAGTTGTACCAGAGAGGTATACGTCAAATTTCCCGTTACTCATGAGCTCTTTATTGCAATCCAGGAAGCTCTGCTTCAATGAGTCCTTCACATTTAGTTTAGTGGAGTATAAGTACTCCTCAAGGTATGATGGAAGCTGCTGCTTGACGAGGCTAGAGACATCCTTTCCGTTTTGCCCATGGCCATCACAAACACCAAAATAATGCATTGACTGTATATTGAGTATATTCGGAGCAAGAATGAAAGAATCCTGATTAACCTTGTTCGGATTTGAAGGAGAGTGTCCCACTCTCGTAGCAAATGCGAACTTAGTGACAATATTCTTCTTCTCATCAAAATCTACATCCTTGCCTTCTTCTCATGCTTCCACTGCTGATACACTCTTGAATATCTTGTAAATTGGGATTTTAGGCTCAGGCTTGAAATTCTTGATAAAATTTATAGGCGAGTTCACGTTATCTCTAGTCTTGCTTTTTGAAAAATCACTGTTTTTCGATTTATTCAACTTTGAGTTCTTCACGCTTCTCTCTGGGGATACGAAATCTATGAAGAAGTTATTCACCTTCTTCTTCGTCAAGAATTTAGTAAACTGCGGTGTCGGTGCATTCAGTCCGGATATAGGTTTTTGGTAATGGAAGGACCTATATAACTTGCCAAAATTAGGTTTGGGTTTAGCTTTCGTGCTGAACATTCCGCCCTTCAGGCTCTTGCCAAGGTACTGCTTCATTATCTCCCCTCTCCGAACAGAGTTATTATTGGAAGCTCTCTTCTTATTTGGGATTTGTGGTTGAATTTCGCTTATGCTGCTTGGAAATTGGCCTTCGCTTCCTCCCAGTGGAGTGGGATATATTAGGAGATCTGACTTGGAAATCCCATTTATTATTAAACGAGTCCTGGAGAGTGTCAAAATCTCTGCTACCTCTGATTCCTAGGGGAGTTAGTTAATGATACAGTACTGGCATTCTTGCTAGCCCCTTTATTTATGCATCCTATTGTACATCATTTTGGTCAATGGATGGTTGTCGCTTAGTCTCAGGTGGTCCTTCCTTTGGCCCTATGGAAATGGTTCACAAAATTATTTTTGAAAATTGAATTCTAGTAGGTGAGGATGCATTAGAAGTTTGTACATGCTTTACCATCTTTCGAGACAACAGTATGAACATTTCTGAAGGATCATTTCAAACAGACTTTGTATATATTTAAACTTATAAAGAAATCGATTGTTACATAAATTTTATGAGAAATTGTCCAACATTTTCAAAAATTCTTTCAAGCAGGGCCAAATTCATATTCTTAGAACTACTCAGACACTAAGATATTACCTTATGCTTGGCCGAATGTAGGCTACTACTTCGCTTGGTTCTCTTACGATTATCTTCCATTTGTATAATTTTACAATTTAAAAACTAAAAATGGGGTTTTGGGGTTTTGGGGTTTTGGGGTTTTGGGGTTTTGGGG